ATACCCTTTTCGAAACTCATAAAGCATAATCTGAAAACATTGCATTGTGTTATTTTTACCTCAAATTATGTGTAGTTGCTACTGTTTTAAGTGTATCGAAATGGGTATTCTTTAAGTCTGGGTATGGATTAATTCACTTTCCATTATTTCTAATGGGAAAAATGTATTCGGACTTCAAACGATCTCCTGGAATGAATTAAACTCGAAGTACGAGGTAATGTACCACTGTATTAATTTATTCCCTTGAAAAATCGTTACAAAGGGCAAAACTTTATATACCACACGTTATACAGTTTAAATACCCTTTTCGAAACTCATAAAGCATAATCTGAAAACATTGCATTGTGTTATTTTTACCTCAAATTATGTGTAGTTGCTACTGTTTTAAGTGTATCGAAATGGGTATTCTTTAAGTCTGGGTATGGATTAATTCACTTTCCATTATTTCTAATGGGAAAAATGTATTCGGACTTCAAACGATCTCCTGGAATGAATTAAACTCGAAGTACGAGGTAATGTACCACTGTATTAATTTATTCCCTTGAAAAATCGTTACAAAGGGCAAAACTTTATATACCACACGTTATACAGTTTAAATACCCTTTTCGAAACTCATAAAGCATAATCTGAAAACATTGCATTGTGTTATTTTTACCTCAAATTATGTGTAGTTGCTACTGTTTTAAGTGTATCGAAATGGGTATTCTTTAAGTCTGGGTATGGATTAATTCACTTTCCATTATTTCTAATGGGAAAAATGTATTCGGACTTCAAACGATCTCCTGGAATGAATTAAACTCGAAGTACGAGGTAATGTACCACTGTATTAATTTATTCCCTTGAAAAATCGTTACAAAGGGCAAAACTTTATATACCACACGTTATACAGTTTAAATACCCTTTTCGAAACTCATAAAGCATAATCTGAAAACATTGCATTGTGTTATTTTTACCTCAAATTATGTGTAGTTGCTACTGTTTTAAGTGTATCGAAATGGGTATTCTTTAAGTCTGGGTATGGATTAATTCACTTTCCATTATTTCTAATGGGAAAAATGTATTCGGACTTCAAACGATCTCCTGGAATGAATTAAACTCGAAGTACGAGGTAATGTACCACTGTATTAATTTATTCCCTTGAAAAATCGTTACAAAGGGCAAAACTTTATATACCACACGTTATACAGTTTAAATACCCTTTTCGAAACTCATAAAGCATAATCTGAAAACATTGCATTGTGTTATTTTTACCTCAAATTATGTGTAGTTGCTACTGTTTTAAGTGTATCGAAATGGGTATTCTTTAAGTCTGGGTATGGATTAATTCACTTTCCATTATTTCTAATGGGAAAAATGTATTCGGACTTCAAACGATCTCCTGGAATGAATTAAACTCGAAGTACGAGGTAATGTACCACTGTATTAATTTATTCCCTTGAAAAATCGTTACAAAGGGCAAAACTTTATATACCACACGTTATACAGTATAATATACAAATCGTTAAAGTTCTTTTCTTGTGTTGCGGATTCTCAAATCCCCCACACCATGATGAATTGAGAACCCTCACAGAGTTCCACGAACCCCCTAGGGGTCCGTGGACCACTGTTTGAGAAATGCGGGTATGTATATCCTAAATTCAATTATCTGTTATTGATAATTTAAAGCGTTAAAGGTATACGTATGGATGTCACACCAAGTGATCAATCTAACACATCTGTAAAAATACGAGAATAATTGCTTTTATGTGATAATAATTTTTTAAAAATTTTGTCAACAGATTGTATAAACTATGTATTTTCGTAAATATTGCGTTTATAGAAAAATTATTGTGCTGCAAATTGAAAAAATTGTAGACCATTGTCTTCCCTTATCTATATGTCCTTCCTTAATCTTGAGAATGGAATTAGACAGATAAAAACGAGACTAGATAAGAGAACCTTAGGGGGGTAGGAGGCCCCGATTAACTATATAAGAACTTCCGATATTTATATAACTATATATAGAACTTCCTATATAAGAATTATATTTAGTTTATTATTTTCTTAAATTTATGCCAAGAGATGGCGCTACGTGTAAACCAGCAAATCGAATGTAGATAGAAATGAATTGATTTACAGAAATTCAATCGATATTTTGGAACGGAATTACGACATTATCTAAGTTAGGAGAATTTAAACGTAACTGCTGAGTTCCATAGCAATCGATCGAACGGTCTAGGAGTGTATAACGAACAAACAAACGTTCTCATTTATATATTTTATCCAATTTGTCCCCGAATTTAGATTTCTGATTGGTTTAAATCCGTCGCTTACCCCATCCCAATTGGTCTCTGACCCCTTGCTAGGTAAAACGGGTTAGTCATCACCTCCCTAACTCGAATTGAGAAGTTAGAGTCGACCAATCCCTTTTACCCCTCTCTGCCCGAAGGGTTGGATTACGCTTTGGCCATAAAGTAGAGAAAATGATGTCTCTCTTCCTTCTCGGAGAGGATAAAGCTTTGTCCATAAGGTCCAAAGATACAAAAGGTTCTATATCAATGTCACTTTCCTTCTAACGCGAACATCGAACGGGAAATGTGACGGGTGTCCCCCCTTCACAATACAGTAGAGCGTCGTTTATCCGAATCAATTGGGGACTGGGGTTGTTCGGATAACTTATTTTTCGGATAACCAATTATGTAGGAAAAAATATATTAATTTATCCCGTGTTGAAATTTTTCTCCGTTGCGTGTCGCTTCGCGTTGAATTTTCGTCGATGTTAAGCCTAACGAAGACTATTGTATCGTTAAAAATTATTTTTTTATTTTGTACAAACAAAATAAATATATTGAAAAATATAAAAACAATAAAAAAATTATACTTCAGAAGTTAATTTAGTATCAAAAACGTAAAATATTTGAGTAGCCCAAGACATAGCCAAAGATTACAGCGCCACAGCACTGGCGAAAATTTAAATTTGTCGACTGGAATTCCTTCGGATAACCGACCTTCGGATAAACGACGCTCTACTGTATAATAAATTTTTTTACTTAGAATTTTTACTTTCAAATTTCTATTTTATTCGTATTTCAGGGTATATATAAACTAATAAATACTAAATAATTAATAGTTGTTTATATGTACTACACTAAATTTGTCATTATTAATATTTTATTCTAGTAGGAGTGTCGCCATCTATCGAATGTTTAAGGATCTAATATACACTAATTCGGTTTTAATTAAATTATAAAAATAGCTTCGACACTGGAATTAAGTATTTATTCTGTAATGCACAGTACTTTCCAGAACATTTATTCAATTTGAACATAATTTATTATTTTATTTAATATATGCAAACGACGTAATCGATAAATAAAAATGTAATAAAATTCACATTAAGTATTGAATCACGCTGAAAATTAATGGATCTCGTCAAATAACAAAGTTTTGATATCAAAATCATTTTAGTTAGAATATAATAGAAAAAAATCCAGCAACGAGTTGCTTAACTTTCCCGGCAACATTTAAAATTGCGTGTGTGTCGCCATCTGTTATCATATTTTATTAAAAAACTTTTACATTTTTATCTATTATAAAATGGCAAAAAAACCTTAATTTTGAGGGTAGAGATGGGTTTTATAAACANTTTATTAACTATAACATATTTTGTTTAAAAATTACACATATTTGCCTATTTTACAATTTATTTTGTCCCTATTCCATTTCTTTTTTCAGATTTATGCTATGTATAGTATTATATTCAAAACACTTTATTATAAAATCTAGCACAGAGTTGCTTAACTTTCCCGGCAACATTTAAAATTGCGTGTGTGTCGCCATCTGTTATCATATTTTATTAAAAAACTTTTATATTTTTATCTATTATAAAATGGCAAAAAAACCTTAATTTTGAGGGTAGAGATGGGTTTTATAAACAATTGTAAATGCTAATAACGAGTAAAATCGTCGTTAAGTCCGACCCTACTGGAGATACACACGACTCCCTTTATCTTTCCACCGGTCGACCTTTAACCACCAAAATTTAATAACATCAAACCCTCTAATACACAAACCTCCCTGCAAAATTTCAGAAATTTTCGACAAAATGCACAAGAGTTATTAAGCTTCAAAGAAGGCACCATAAACACATACACACATTAACAATACATACATACAAAAAAACCCCTGAATTCTTTTTTTATTTTTTAATCTCTCGGTGTTTCAAGATCCCCCGAGTCCAAAAATGTGTAAGTTTAATGTAATAATTTATAGTTTTTAAACTACTTTTATCTTTTAACTTAGTATAAAGTTTTAAAAAACTAGTTAGGATTTTACTTTTAATTTAAGTCCTGTTTAAAAATTGAAATAAATAATACTCTTGTTTGATTTAGGCTTTGAAACAATTTGTTAATTATTTTAAAACTCTAATAAAGCAAATATATATGCCTAAGAATAATAATAAAAAAAAAATTCTCTTCTTAGTCTATTCTAAACTAAACAATTTCATAATCAAATACTTATTAAAATAAATTATTTAATTATAAAGGTAAAAATAACAATTCTAATAGAATTTAAAGACTTCTTTTTTAAAGTATAATAACTCTAAAAAAATAGATTTTACTGCTGTGAAGTGATCATTAAACACTTATATGTGCTGTATATTATTTACAGCACATATTTACAGTACTTTGCATCATCTAGAATTTCTATAGGAATAAAAGAGTGATCTATGTGTGTTTTCAGGTGGTTTTTTTTGTGATTTTTTACAATATCAAAAGTAATAAATTGAGTTTTCCTTCAATTTATGTGCAATTTTTCAGCTCATCTCCCAACAATAGCTACTTTTGAATCTTTTTTAAAAGAAGAAAACAAAAAAAAAATACTTTCAAAATAAATTATATCTACAAATAAACGATAACATTTTCTAAAAATAAACTCTATTAATTTTTTCGTGTGTTTTTTTTTTTTCTAATATAAACCGTTATTTATCTTTAAAGAACTGATTTGAACTTCACGTATCGTCCTTCAGAACACTAATATTTTGTCCTTTAGCAAACGTACCAAGTTAATATCTTGTCTATCAAGGCATAACTTTACCTATCTCCACTTGTTGAGATAAGGAGATTAAACCAGTTACATCGACGATTGTACATACGGGATGACTTTTGATCTGTACACCTTTGCATTCTTAGACTTGGATACAATGGATGCGATTTCTTGACGGGCATTTTTATAAAACTTAGTGTAAGTAATAATATTTTATAATATATTCAAATTAAATTGACATAATTTCCTTTATTACTTTATATTAATTATATGCATTCAAATAATATTTATTAAAATATTTTAGCTTATATTCTTTCACGCACAGGATACATGCTAGATTATAATCTCTATGTCATATCATATCTCCTAAAATTAAATATATAGGAAAAAGAAAGAAACATTAACATATATTATGCTTTTTTTTGTTTTTTAGTATAAATTCTATATCTATATAAAATTTTATTTTGATTACAGAGGATTATTCTAATATAAAATCAGTAAAATGTAAATGAAATTCATTATTCCCATAACTATAAGCTGGTCAATTATAATTTATAATCTAAGTTTTATATAAAAATTTATCATATTTAAGTATTATTTATAAAAATTTAATATATTTTTGCAAATAATAATTCAATTTTCAAGCTTTTTATTTATCATATAAAGCGATAACGGAAGTTTTTCCCATTTTTCCTCTTAAAAAATTAAAATAAAAGAGAGATTAACATTTAAATTAATGGATTTCTGAGCAATTAAAATGACTTATATTTATGTTTTCGTGACATATAATCAGAATTATTGAAAATTTTATTTTACATTTACCTATTTCATTGGAAAATACCAATGTTTACATTAAGTATATTGCAATGTCACTTCTGACTATCTCATAATCACGGAAACTATCCATATTATTATCTAAAAAAAGATTTCTCAATAAAGACTAAACAGATATACATATACCACAAATGAAACTAGTCGATAAGGTAATTATTCATTAATATTTTAACATAAAAGTTGTTAACATTAGTTTAATTCTAATATATAAATAGTTAAATAGCAAAGAAATAAAATAAATTTTAATATATATACATATATAATTCTAATCAATTTGTAGTTTAGAAATCTCTCTTTAATAATCAATCTACATTAGAATGACGAAGCTTATGAAAGTTCAAACAGAAAAGTTTAGAAAGGAAAAGATATGCAAGGCAATTTCCTATAGGGGAGATCGGGGCAAGATCGGCATGTTAAGCTTTACTTAAATTTTGTGTAATAAATACTGCTGTAAACTGAAAAAAAAGCTTTGCATATTGTCTATTGGAATGTTACCTTACTATAGAACTGGTTAAAATCAGTTTGGAAATAAAAATAATTAAAATAATTACAACTTTACAAGAAGAGAGAAATTGACGAAGTTGCCCCGGGTATAGGGGCAAGATCGGCAACTTCTCTCTTTTTGTAAAGTTGTAATTATTTTAATTATTTTTATTAAAGTTGCCCCTGGTATAGGGGCAACAGTAATGGGGCAAGATAGGCACGTATATAAAATTATGTTATTAACAATGTATAAGTTGGAATTCACTATTAAAACAAAGAAATACAAATCCAACACCCATTTAATATTATTACAACGAAATGCAAGTTCAAAGACATATATACATGAATAACAAATGCAAACATGTTTTCATTTATCATCTGTTTGATTTTTATCCTTTGCTTCTAATGTGGCTTTATGTTGCCGATCTTACCCCGCTAGTCATGATTTCGAAACATTAAGTACAACCCTGAGAACAGAATGCCAAGCCACGATCTGGCCACGTGAATAAGTTGAAGTTACATCCTTCTAACAGGAAAAGTAACTTTCGTTATCATGGAATTATAACAAAACCTGCCAATTCAATATAAATGGAAAAAAAATATTATATGGAATTGAACGAAAATGAAAATTTGCTTGATAATTCAACTACGCTTGTTGGAGAACAATAAAAACACTACACTCAACAAGCCACCAATAAAACTCAACTGCCTAACCTATAACCAAAGTCTCCTTTTAATTTGTTTTTTAAAAAAAGCGCTTGACAAACTTGCCCCGCATGCCGAAGTTGCCCCGATCTCCCCTATACAGTCGACCCCCCTATAACACTGTTGATTATTCCGTTTTATATGAATTCCATGTTGTACGAGTCACTTAGATTTTACATATACGTGTGCCGGGCTTGAACGGCTCACGTATTTGTAAAATCTAAGTAACTCGTACAATATGGAATTCATATAAAACGGAATAATCAACAGTGTTATAGGGGGGTCGACTGTAATCTATTAATACTATGTAATTCATGCCTATACGTGCGTAAATAATAGGCCTATATGCATACTCTACTTTTATCATAGTAAATCACCAAAAGTAGTGACTTAACCGTGGTCCAGTATATACCCGGAACTCTATACCATACTAATAATAGGCGGTTCTATTGTATATTTCACTAAATATATAGTATTTTGGATCGATTTTTTTTTTTTGAGGTAAGGGATAGGTTTAAACTACACAAGACAGCTTTAAATTTTTCCAAAAACCTAAATCATTATAGTAGAAGAAAGCCTAGATGAGCGACTATCCAATCACATGTTATAGGCCTATTATGAAGCTTTCTAAATAGAAATTTTACTGTTTAGCATGCTAATTATCGTAAGTAAGAGTAATATATGTGTTCAGTCATCTTAAGGTTAATAATAATAAAATAATAATAATAATAATAACTGTCAGTACTTCAATGAAGAAATTCGAAAACACATAGGCTAGTATTCACCTGATTTTTCCCGTTTACATGTTTTGATTTACAACCTTTTGTTTATTTTTATTTTTTGAGCGTACTTTGAACCCACGTACGTTTGAAAATCCATAATTATTACAGATAATAAAAAAAGATTTATGCTGAAAAGTAGCTCGAGAATGTTTCATTACCTGTTAAGAGTATCAATCATAAAATTACATAATACAAAAAATACTTATAAGTACGATTAAATTTTATATAAAAATGTATATAATTACTTTTTTTCCTTATTATATACGTGTTTTTTTCCCCTTTTAATCAATGATATATTATTCGAAATTTTATTTTATTGTTTTTTGCTTTGTTGGATTCATAGATAACATACCTTGTTTTGACTTGTGCGATTAAGAGCGGAACGAAGAATATTTCGAATAGTTTTGATAATACAACGTAGATTTTTATTAATATTTAAACATATAAACACGTATTGATTGTATTACGATTATAATAAAAAAGTATAGGCCTATATATATATATATTTTTTTTTATTTCAGATTTTCGTCATAAAACCGTATGTCTTCTCATAAATCAATAGTAAGTTGACTTATTTATTATTAAAAGTGATATATAGAATGTATTTTAATACAGGAATATTATTGGTAGATCATACATTTGATGTGTTTTTTTTAATATTAAATAAACACGTTCAAACTAGATTAACTTGTAATTAAAAAATGATTTTCTGTTAACCCTTCAGTGCCGATTTATCACTATTTTTTTAGTGCCATAATGACAGATATATCTTTACACTTTCAGGTCCATGACTGGCATATCCGGTGTGGTTAAACCAACCGGAAACGGAAGCGTTAACATGTGTGGCATTATGGGAGAAGCAGAACGGAGCTTAATGGCTCCTAATTCGGCAAAAATGAGATCGCCTCGTCCTAGCAGAATACCAAAACTCGCTCCCTTAACGTATCAAAATGTAAACAATCATTATAAAACTCAACCAGTCAACGAACCACGTGTTGCTATCAGGAAGCCGCCATCTTGCATGTATAGTAATCGAACCGATTGCATGTTTAAGACCGAATATGATAATTTAGCTGTTGGACATTTCATGCCACAAGGTAATAAATTTATTCGGTTGTTTTCTATACGAAAACACCGGTAAGTATTATAAAAAGAAATAATAAAAAAAAAGATCCCCTGGACAGTCGAAGCCACGTGTGAGCCAATGCTCGAAAACAATTATTATCCCCTACCAAGTGCTACTCAAATTACTTGACAGCAACTCCGGAAGGAGTTTCGAATAGAATAACCAAGATTTTAACTTGTTTGTTTTCTTAAAACTTTATTTATTTATTTATTTTTTATTCAATTATTTTAATAAGTTTTATTGTTAGAGTTTTAAATATATTTTTTATTATGGAGTAAATAATTTTTTTACAATAACTTAATCTAGTTTTTTTGATAAGTTTACTTAGAAAATCTAAGATAAAAGAAGACAAAGAGTAACTAAAAACTCTAAAAATATCCCCTAAGAGAAGGAAACGGATTGCTATTTTTAAATACAAAATAAAACTAACTTGAAAATAAAAGATTTTTATAATATATAAAGATTTTAATTTATATTTTAACAACTACAAATTAAACTGTAAAAAGTGAAATAATGAATATAGGGAGTAAAGAAAACAAAAGTTTATTACAATAAAGATATAAGTTAAAGTAAAATTTCACTTTTATAAATGCATATGAATAGTTTATTACATTTTTCTCTAGTGTTACTCTTATGTTTTAAAGGTAGAGAAAATGCAAGTTTATAAAAAGCATATACAGTCGACCCCTCTATAACACTGTTGATTTTTCCGTTTTATATGAATTCCATATTGTACGAGTCACTTAGATTTTACAAATACGTGTGAACTGGTTACGTATTTGTAAAATCTAAGTGACTCGTACAACATGGAATCCATATAAAACGGAAAAATCAACAGTGTTATAGGGGGGTCGACTGGTAAAGCAATTTTATTTAAATAACTTATAGTTATTCAGATTTTTATTCAAGAATATTTCATTCATAAGCACATATTTCTCCGCATTATGCGCCTATAATTTACAAAAACAGTATAAGAATTTGCCTAATTAAATAAGTATTGCATAGAATGTATTTATTTCTTAAAAAGTGAATATTCGCTATATTTTTATGCATATTTTTTAAGATAAAGAATTGCTTAGTTTGCAAGATAATTGATTGTATTAGTTATGCAATTAATTATCTTACAGGCGTGCAAGTATTAATTCACTTTAAAGATTATTCATATATAATATAATTAAAAATGCACACAAAATTTTAAAATTTGTATATTTTCATAATATTTTAAGCAGTTTTGTAACGTTAAAAGAGACTATAATTTTTTTTTAATTGAAATTTTTCTAACAAATAAAACTACTTCTATAAAAGCATAATAAAAAGTTGTAAGCGATAAAAACTTACTATTTGCGTACTTCCGGTAGTTAAGCGATAATTTTTTTTTAATATATATATTTAATTTTTTATGCATATATCTATATATGCCTTTTCCTTTCCATTCATTATTTATTATCTTATATCCGCCAATCAGCATTAACGTTATTTTAAACTGCTATTGCTTTTTTTTAAGTAGCAAATACACGATTGGACGAAATTCAATTTTTAAAATCTTTCAGACCGATTGGCGCTTTAAAAATCCTCCTACGCTACTAAAATATCCAATAAGCTATCTTGTTATGTTTTGAATGAATATAGAAACACGTGAATTTAAAGAGTGACAATTTCCATTTCATCTTTCGCATAGTCCATCAGTAAGTCTTGATTTTTTTTAAAACTCTTTGAATATTTTTAATAATTCTAAATAGAAAAAAAAATATATTTATATTTAGGCTCTATTACTGTGCAATTTCTATTACAATAGCAATATTATTTACATCATTTTAACTAAACATAAAAATGAGAAATGTGTGGAATTATTTATGCAATATTCTAACAAAAAAAAATTATCTTTTTATTTATTAAATAAATCTCCGTTTAGCCTATATTTAACAGCATGAAACATTTTTTATGGATATTTAATACCATCGTAAATGTATAAAAAAGAATGAATCAGCGATTATATGGATTAAATTTTTTTTAAAAAAACTCTCATCTCTGTTCTCTTTTTCAGCTGTGTTTAACGAACAGATATCAAAGACTTGTCAACCAGTAAACTCAGAAATGCATTTAGATCCAGTCACTTCGAATGACTGTTCGGCAGAAACCACCACTGTTGGACCTTTCATTGAATCAGCCGTGATACCAACACCCGCTGACGAAACTCAATTTGCTTCGTATTATCAAGACGATTTAACTCTTTTATCGGAACCTTATTGCCACGAAGAAGTGTTAAATACGATTTTAGAATCGGAGAATTTTTTCGAAGATAATAATAGTAATCCTCAAAATCAAATTTTGCCTGATTTATTTCCTCAATCTCAAACGTTATCTTTCAGTGATTTGTATAGTTATTTACAAGAAGATCAAGACAACTGGAATATTTATCCCGTTCTTCCACCCGTGTCTACGAATAAAGAAATGCCTCCGAGTAGTTCACCCCTGTCTCTAGCAACTTCTCGTTCTTCTTTTACAGGTAGGGGAAATAAAAGATCTCATTCTATATCACCTTTATCTGCAGAACTCAACGCTATCATTCGAACGTCACCTACTTCTTTGGTGTTTCTACCATCTTCCAGATGCTCTTCTAATAGTTTATCACCTTCACCGGGAGAAAAACCTGGCTGCTATGGACATTTAAATGCTAGAAATAGCGCTAGTCCACATTCGAATAACTCTGGAAGACGAATTAGTTCGATATCGCAGTACGAAGATCAATATTTGTTTTTGCCAGAGTCTAATAATCTATGTATTCTTCAAAATGGTAATCTTAACAAAGATTGCTCTCAAGTTTTTCCTATACCACCGCCTATTCAAAATAGGCCTCCTCCTCCTTCTTACGATCAGTATATGGCTGCTCATTTTCCTACCAAAATCGAATTGAAACCGAAAATAAATTCGAACGAATCGAAAGAAAATAAAGAAATTTTGAATTGTGGTTGGATCGACTGCGGTGAACATTTCGAAGAAAGAAATGATTTGGTCAGACATATCGAATCGGCCCACGTCGATCAACGCAATTTCGTTTGCTATTGGAAAGGATGTTTTCGTGAACAGAGACCGTTCAATGCCAGATACAAGCTACTAAGCCACATGAGAGTACACACAGGAGATAAACCAAATAAATGCACAGTAAGTCTATATTATATATAATAAATTTATCACTAGGAACAGCCGTCATTTTCTAAACATTATTCTGATTACTTTGTCATACAAAGTAACGAAATTATGTAATTTTTATACTCGTATTATATAATAACAGAGTGTCGTTTTGCAAACATTTCTCGGTATCCTTATTGACACATACCATATTATATCTAAAAGAAAGTAGGAGACAGGTCCATTACAATTCTTAATGATGTCTGCAGTTAAATATAGATCATGTCAGGCTGTTTATCTTAAAAACTTAGTGACGATGTTTTTCATTTTCCAACCAAGCGCCTCTTAATTACATAATTATAAATATAAATATTAAAACCAGTTTAATTCTTTATATAAAATTAATTCAATAGTATTATTCTAATTAGTTATTTTTTTAAAATATCTAATAATTTAATCAATATATTTCATAGGTTCCCTCTCTCTTCCATAAAAATACTATTAATTTAGATATTCCATTCACTCTTTTCGTTAAAATAAATAAATAAATAAATAATAATGAGTAATTGGCATTCGTATGCTGGACTCTCCGGTTTAAAACGTGATAGAAATTCTATACACAGACACACCGAGTTGGATAGGATTCGAGTGAAGATCTTATTACCACACCGTTTTTCCTATTTATTTTATATCATTCATCCATTTAAACATGGTAATACATGTATGTAGGCCTATATATAAACATAACTATAGGATGTCCCATTTAAAATCGGCCGTACTGAGACAACGAAACATAATTTATATAAATTTTATAGAAAAATCTTCATGAAATATTAGCCTATATTACCTAAATTCATTTGTATTATTTCCAGTGAGTGAGACGATTTTATATAGGACAACCTATACAAATAATAATAATAATAATACAACTCTTATNTCCATTTATGGCCCAGAAAGAATATATTAGTTTGGATAAATTCACATAGAAGTCTTTATGCAATCAACTTACATATTTCTAAAGTCATAGAAACATTGTCAAACTTAGTACACTTTGTTTATATTTTTGAATCAACTAAAATGCAAATGTTTAAATATCTCGAAAGAAGAAAAAATGGACTTACACCACTTTCAAAATAAACGGTCCAAATAATTGTTTTATATTTCTATTTTTTAAAAATATAGACTATAACTTCTTAGCTATAAATTTTATTACGTATTGCTGTTGCGTTTTTTTGCTTAAAAAACAAAAAATAAAAATAGGTGATTAAATTATTGCCTGTATATTTATAAAATTCAAAAATATTTTATTAATAAATTGCAATAAATTTTAAATTTTTTTCAAATAAAGTTTCGAATTTTTTATTATTATTATTATTTTAATAATAAATGGAAATACGTCACACGATTCGATTCGTGCCATTGTAACGTCATTGTTAATTACGATGCTTTACTCCGTGTCAGTAGACGTAGAGAAGAAAGCGACCTTGACCTTGACACAAGTGTTGCGAAATCTCGATCATAAATTTATTTAAGACTTGCTTGTGAAAAATAAAAATTATGCCATTGCTATTATTTTTGACTAAAGTATACAAAATATCAGAATACGTAAAAAAAGTAACTTTTTACTACAATAAAAAAATTAAACTTTAGTATAAAGTATTTTTTTCTTTACACTTTTGGTGGCATTAATGGTATATTTGCATCAATAAAATTATTTTAAAAATAAATTAAAAATTTTCCACATTTATTGAAAATATATTTTTATAAAGAATCGATTTATTGTAGCGGTGGGAGATTTTTTTATGAAGCTGATACTGGTTTAATGATTCAATAACTGGAAATTATAAGAAATTTCACCAATTTATTATTATAAAACTAATTCATATAATGTAGATTTTATAATAGATTTTTCTTTTTTAAATATATAAAATTTCTATTTTCATTGTGTACAACATGTATGGCACGTTATAATAAATCAAGATGGATCGATAATCGACGAAGGGCAGACTTTAGTCTTGTCTATAAATTATAGACCCTGGACAACGAACTTTTTGAAGCAAAGCCAAGATCGATTTTTGTTATTTAGATAACGATTGTCGGAGGAAAATGAAGTTTGCCATTGGTCAGAATTTATCACTATTTTATTAATATTGAGCGTCAATATACGCAAAGTGGATGATTCAGCAAAATCATAAATTTTGACTCGACAAAGATATTAAAATTTGTGGGAAAAAATAAATTATACGAATTTAAAAGTATTAGCGATTATATTCTGGATTTTTTTTCTGAATTAAAACAACAAAAAAGCGCTAATAAATGTAACATGTTATATAATTTAATTAATTAAATAAGGAATTAAAATATTGTCGGCATCGAATGTGTAATAATCTTTTTGTTTTTCTTTTACTCATATAATACTACAGCCTGGAAATTACATTTTAATCGCGGAAATAGCTAGGGAAGAAAAAGCTTTATGGCCAGCTGTCGTAATTGTTTTTCATCATTGGCATATTGCTCTACTACTTAAATAAAATCTCCTGTATAAAAAAATAAATAAAATTCAACGAAAGTAAACCATTTGAAGTTCACACTGGAAAGAAAAATTACAATGTAACAATTTGTCCTTAAGTGTAGCATCATTTTTTTTACTTTAATACAATTCCCCTTATAATTCAAAGCACGTGGTTTAAGTGTTGAAGAATTGGCGTAACAAAGAGAAATATTTCGTTACTAAATTGATATAAAAAAGTCATTAAAATATTAAAATCTGAATAAATTTTCAATTCTTCTAATAGATTTAATGTAATGGGATATTTTATTAAACTTTTTCTTCCTGTAAAAAAATAGAAGAATGTCTGATAGCATGAAATTTAAACTTAAACCGACGGGGAATAGAAGAGGGGTTTTTAGCACCCAGACGACCTTTATGAGTTAAGTTTAGCTGACTATCAGACAACAGATGCTCATCTGTATCGTATTACAACCACTTTTTATCAAAATAGAGTAAGACAAGTAGTGACACTCCGGAAATTAAGGTCATTACCAACGGTTGATTCTTGAACCCGACGATTAAGACAACATTCTGATGTATAAATTGGTAAACATTGTCATTCATTTCTTCAAATATCTCTAGAGATATCGTTTGGAAGAACATGTGGAGACACTGATTAAGCCACCATGTCCACCGGATGCTGCCTCTCTACATTTCCTGCGTTAACAGCTTCAACATTCGATGTTATTGCCCTATAATTTTTTTTTTTTTTATAAATATTGCGATAAATCATCCGAAAAAAGGAATTGCAACTTATACACATTAATCTATATTCGTGTATACAAATNCGTTAACAGCTTCAACATTCGATGTTATTGCCCTATAATTTTTTTTTTTTTATAAATATTGCGATAAATCATCCGAAAAAAGGAATTGCAACTTATACACATTAATCTATATTCGTGTATACAAATCCTACATATAATTTTAAAGGATTCTATCCTAATCTCAACGTATTGTTAAAGATACTCGTAATATTCTTTAACAAATCACCACGTGAAAAGTCATTTAAAAGTTTTTTTTAAAATAATATTTACGAAGAATCAGTTCTATCACTTCAGAAGAAATTTTAAGGAAGCTTATTACAGCATTTATATTAATTGTTTGTAGCTTTTGACTTTTTAGTGAAATAAAACCAGTTACAAATCTTATATATATATATAAAAAGGGGTGCCACCGGATGAATTTTAGCGTCTGGGTTACGAGGTCAACGGCATAGAGGTCATATAATAACAGGTGGTCCTCGAGCATCATCTGTTATGTGGTCAATGACGGGAGAGATAGGGTTAGGGATCACCGGATATCAAGAATCAGGTGTCATAAGAACATATTACGACATGTGTTCACGAATTAACCATTAAAACAATTTAATTTTGTTTAATTTCAGTTCGATGGTTGCACGAAAGCTTTTCCTCGAAAAGAAAATTTAAAAATTCATTTGAGATCGCACACGGGTGAACGTCCTTACGTTTGTCAGTATCCGGATTGCGGGAAAACTTTCACTAATTCTTCCGATAGATCAAAACATCTGAAAACTCATCAAGAAACGGTAAGAATTTTATTATAATTTCAATACTTAATAGCAAAGTAATGAGAAATTATAAACACGTTTGTAATTATTCTTTCAAATTTCACACGTATTTGTTATTATAATATAGAAACCTTATGCCTGTCAAGTACCTGGATGCGATAAACGTTATACTGATCCTAGTTCATTGAGAAAGCACGTTAAGAATCATATTAATAAAAAAGAACATGTACGGAAAAAAGTAAGTATTTCACATACATTTTTTTTAAATGGTATCTTCTTTATTAATAATATTAGCAGTCAATAACTATTAAAATTATCTATGCAGACTTTAAGATATATTTCTTCTTGTACTGTAGAACACAATACATTTTTACTTTTTATATTTGTTCTTTATGTTTAGTTCTATGTTGAAATAGAGTACTGAACAATTCTTTTTGATGTATTACTTGCAAAGATCCCAAATGATACACAGAATCCTACAGCATTTAGGAATTTTAATTAATTCTTTTTCTCTTTCTTCAAGATTAAAGACACGAAACTAAACATCTGCTTTTAAATTAAGGAAATTTCTGAACTAAATCAATTTGTTCCTTATAATTTCTGTGTAATAGCTTATAAGAGTTTCATTTTCTCATCAGTTCTACAAATAATTGAACTTAAATTTGACTTTGATAGGAGAAATATTCAATAATAAATAAGCATTTCTATTATAATTTTAGCAAAAACAACAAGTTTACTATAATACTACGTTAGACTGTCCATTAATTACGTGTCTAGTTTTTGATCTCATCTTTCTATTTTGTAGAACGATGTACAGTACTTTTTGCAAGCCTCCTCCCCTTTAATTACATGTACAATAGTTCATAGACCTCCCCTAACATTAAAGAAATGACTTAAGAAAGTTCTAACGATGATTTATTTACATAAATAGTAAGCAGGTTTATAAGAATAAATACGGCACTAATAACACCAAAAAAAAAAAAGAAAGTCCACGTAGACAATTCCTTGACCCTCCCACCATTGTCTAGTACTTTTCACAATCTCCTGCCTCCCCTTAAACTGTACACGCATTTAATGGATAGCACTATAAATATAAAACATTATAAATTTTTAAGCTAAATGGTAGAGAAAAATGATATTTGATTGATAGAAACAATAGATATAGCATAGACTACTTATATTGTTATACAGGCAAAATATACAATATAATAATATATACTAATATTATAAGAAATATGGGAGAAATAATATATTTAGAATTAAACTGATACTCGTGGAGCAGAATCGAATGAAACTCTGTACACATGCAATGCAGATCATGGGGAAGACATTTACGAAGAGGAAAAAGTTAGTTGAAGCAGGGGAAAATGTAGCGCTGCATAGATTACAATTATAAGTGGACACTATGCTGGCCTTCAGCTCCGACACGGATAAACTTCAGGTCCCCCGATAAACACGATCTTTTAAATAACCCTACATCCACAAACATACGTTTTAAACCGAAGAGCGCCAAATTTCCCCTGGTGATGAAAATTTCAACTAATTTTTCCCACCTTACGTCTCTTCCCCATAACCTACACATTACATAAGTACCGAATTTCGATTTCGAGCCGGCTCCATCGTTTAATTCTAACCACTCTGTACTATAAAATACATTTATTTGACAGTCTCTACTTTTATTTGTGTAAATAAAACAAACATTTAATTGAAAACCAAATACAAGAATATAATTTTTGTTCTATTGTTGTGGAGAAGAGTTGTGAGAAGGGTTTGTAAAATTGTTAAAGCTCTGAGGTGTTTTAATACAAAATCATCATCTAGAAGCGTGTCCCCCCTTTGAAACAGTACAATTTAAAATGTAATTATTACAAAATAATAAAATCTGAATGAAATTTTCGACATTTTCATATATTGAGGCAAAGAAGAACCTCAAGATAAAGGCCAACTCTGCCAGGTGAGTGTTGTTTCTGTGGTGTTAAAAAGACAAATGTGAAGATGCAAATAGAAAACAACACACAAATATAAATTCCAGCGAGAATTTTAAGTGAATTTTCATTCCAGATTTTATTATTTTGTAATACATCTTTCAAACATATCAAATTACAGTAGAGCGTCGATTATCCGAAAGTCAATCATCCGAAACGTCAATTATCCGAAAGAATTCCAATCGGCAAATTTAAATTTTTGCCAGTGCTGTGGCGCTGCAATCTTTGGCTATGTCTTGGGCTACTCAAACATTTCATGTTTTTGATACTAAATTAACTTCTGAAGTATAATTTTTTATTGTTTTTATATTTTTCAATATATTTATTTTGTTCGTACAAAATAAAGAAATAATTTTTAACGATACAATAGTCTTCTTTAGGCTTAACATCGACGAAAATTGAAAGCGAAGAGACACGCAACGGAGAAAAATGTTAAGATATATTTTTTCGTACATAATCGGTTATCCGAAACACCGATCTTCCGAACAACCATAGTCCTCAATTGATTCGGATAATCGACGCTCTACTGTATATCTAAATATAATTAATTATTTTTTTTTCTATAAAGTTATTTTGAATATAATTTATAAAACTAGTTAAATATGATGCAATTTATAAAATTATATAATTATTCTTGCATATATGTAGTTACGAAGTGGATGCGATGTGGATGATCTCACTGACTGTCTAACGGTACAGCCGTTGAAACTATTTTCAAGTGAAGAAGCTTCTCCGACTGATAATGGAGTAGACAGTGGTATCGGACGATCTCCAAAAGGTTCTCAACCAGGATCCACTTCAGATCTTCATTTAGGTAAATAAATCCCACTTCAAACTTACTATATAAAATAAAATTACTACCTATTTTACTAATATATATGGATTTTCTAGGTATTAATAATGTCAGTTGCCAATCTAGTCGTAGTGCTAGTGAATCGGCTATACATGCATCTCCAGGAAGCCATAAAAGTAATTCACCATTAACCGGAATTACAGAATGGTAAATATATATAATTATGTTATTATATATGTAATATAGGTCTAATTGTATTATTTACAGTATATATATATATATACACCATTATATATATTTAATAATAGAAAACTGATGGACGTATTTAATTTTTAAACGATAGGGAGGAGAATCGTAGCAAAATGAGTCCCAATGTTCCCGTACTGCCTCCAATTGGAGGACGTCCGTATACAAGTTATCATACAAATCAAATACTCAGTCCAGCACGTCCCACTTCTTGGTGCTTTCCTGGAGAAGGTAAAATTTCATATAACATAATCTTTACTGGTAACTAAACACGAGGTTACAACCGAAGTTTTCATCTGTAAAACGTGAACATCGAACGTCGAGAGCCACTATCTTGTAAGCACTACTCGACGTTCGACGTTCACGTTTTACAGATGAAAACTTCGGCCGCAACCTCGCTAATAAATCACAATCCTAATGCTGATTCTAATTACATTCCAACATTTATGATATTCTTGGCACAAATTTCAAATGATAAACATTGAAAAGATATCCAACTGATAACAAACAATAGAGGAGAAGGTGGTATTATGGAACCCCAATTACATTTTAGTGAATTGTAAACAAGGTATCATAACTACACCCACATTTTTTGTGCAAAAAGTACTTGTAACTATTAAACTAAATGTTCCTAATTGGATTTTTCGTTAGTGTAACTATAAGTATGGTTTTTGAAGGCTTTTGTACAAAAAGTCCGAAAGTAGGCTTAGAGAAAATCGGGTGGTAATATGGAACCTTACTGTATATTTTCAAAAAAATGCTTTAATGTAGCCAAAAACAAATAGGAAAGGACAAAAAATGTTAAATAATTACAAAATTATTTACTCCAATGTATTTTATCGCAAAAATGCTTTTATAATAGAAAAATATGACCTCCATCAACAATATATATTCCAGCAGCTCTTTTTCGATATTCTCAGGAAGAATTGGCTTTCTACCTAGTGTCTTTTTCACAAATTGCTCTGGAGGAATGTCTGCTTGCAAATAGAAAGTTCGGAGGAGTTGAGTTCCATATTACTGTAAAAGCACCAATGGGGTCCGTATTTCACGCATCGCCATCTCGAATTAACTTATGTCTGTCAAGACCAAAATTTAAAAAACGTGAACATCACACAGATTAATATGTACCCCTAAGTCTCTGGAACGGAATACATGCACCAGTGAACCTACAACTACACGATTTATATTTTAAAAATAATTAAATTCACTTAGCATTCAAAACTTGCGAATTTTGAAAAAAACAAATTTGCTGATTAAATACGGACAACTGTTTAACTGAAGTAAAACGAGTTTTTCCCGTGCTATGGATGTCTGCCTAGTTCAGTTCAGCCACATTCCCCTACAGTTCGACTTTATTATCAGTTCGAAATGGGGTGGTTCCATAATACCACCTTCTCCTCTATATCATATCATAGATAATTAATTTATTATTTTACGATTAATTGACACTTTCACACAAGTTTTAACTTTGCAAATACTTAAAGAATAGTGGATCAATATTAATTAAGAATTAAAATATAATAAATTCAACTTACATTACTTCTTTAAGTACTGGTTTAATAGGCTGGTAACTTTTTACCCAATAATTTTCAGTAGTTCACCAAAGTTACTTTCCATTTGAAACGATTTTCTCCGTTCGAATTCAACAATATATATAAATTTAGATATTTTTTTTAATGATGTTCCACAATAAATTTATAAACATATAATTTTATGTATATTTAAACTTTTATGTAACGTTAAATTCATGCCTTTTCCACCTATTTATCAGCACACAACATTTGTTGTTTATTTGCTTCTCCTTCTTGATTTTTTCACTCAAAATAATACATTTTAATACCTGTTTTTTGCAAACACTTTCGTACTGTAAAATAACATATTCCTGCAGGATGCAATCATCATCGTAGGAAGTAGGCAAATTCCAAATATTGAATGAATATCTTCTCCACAAAATGTCCCATCAGCATAATGCTCCAATGGAAGAATAATTTGCATATTAGCGCGTGCATAATTACCCATTCAAACATGTATACGTCGTTTCGTAAGTGACAAGAGAGCTGGAGGATAACCCACAAATATACCATAAAAATTTTGAAATTGTATTTCATTTTTTACCAGTCTTCATCATGTCCTCTTCAACATATTTTGATTCTATATCCTACAGAATATATCATTCTCTAGTCTCATAATTACAAATTCTAATACTGTATAAACTATATTCTACAGAGTTAATAATTAGTATATTAAAATACAGTACATTGAAAATATTTAGTGGAATAATACACATTCATAAGTATTTGTTTTCAAAGCAATATACTTTAAGTTTTAATACAATCTATTTTCAATTTAAAATTAATTCCTAAGTAAGTTTGTTGGAAGTTTATTTAAATGAATTTATTAATTTTCTATGCAAATTAATAAGTTTATTGCATGATAAAATCCATATAAATTTGAAAAAGTAACTCAATGAAGATAAAATTTTTTTTCAAAGTCATTACAAAGAAATTTATTTTTAGTGATTATAAATTATTATTGATATTTCTGTATTTTAAATGTAGATCTGAAACAGCACAAGGAGCAATTATTGTCATCGAATTATCAAAATTCTGTGATATCAAATCCAAACATTGTTATATCTCAAAAAGGAACAATGTGCAATCAGCAAATTAGATGTCACAGTAATTTTGCTGGATATAACAATTTTACACCAATTTCGTTGACCTTTGACGTGTATCCAACACAAGAACAGTTAAGTTAATGCAGTAATTATCAAGAAAATTTTTTTCTTCTTTTGTACACATTTTTCATGATTACTAAAATATTTCAATTGAATTGTTCATTTCAGGTATTTTTAAGATTTGATAAAATACATTGGAAGAATATAAAGAAGTTTAATTAATATTTGATAGTAACTTTTAACAAATAAATGTATAATTTTTACTATTTCAATAAAAAAAGTTGAAAACATTATCTGTTCATTTATAAAAAAATAAATGCAAAAGGCGATTTTTAAATACTTTCAAAAATATCAATTGTTGAGCATAAATTTTTTTATATTATTAGAAAGTTTTGTACATATATCAATAAATCAATTAAATAAATTAGGTACTTTGTGTTTTCTTTAATAAAATATCTTTTTATATATATAAAAATTTTTCTCTACAACTAAATTATTTTGAGATTAAAAATTTGAAATAGAAGGCAATACTTACATTTTCTCTAATGGAATGGAATAAATAATGAGACATCATACAGTGTAAGTCTATGTAGTAAACTATATCAAGCAAAATTGTGATGATGATCAGCATTTGTCACAATTTCATTACGTATGGAATGTTCTTACAATAAAACACAGTACAAAGATATCAAAATGAATTTTTAATACAGTGTATAATGTAAGAATAACTGCTATTAATAATTATAATGTTAGAAAAAGAAAATACTTATTTGTTATTCTATTTACCTGCTGAAATGCTAATCTTTGATGTGAATTTCATTTATTTTAATAAACTAACAAAATTATTATTCATATTATGTTTATTATAATCTTTAAAATAACTAAATCCTTTAGTGTTTTTTAATGCAGAGTATTACAAAAGTTCAGAATGCAAAATATAAAAGTGTTTAAGCAAATTACATATTTTACACAATTCTAAAAACCTTCCAAGATTGTTGTTGATAGAATACAGTGGTGTAACGTAGTGGGACGGCAGAATTTTACAATAAATAATAATAATATCTTGTAAAAATTTGAACCATTTCATTTCATATTTTTGCCGCACCTACGATTCGGACCGATTGAAATGAGCACAGAATTTTTCATTACTTATTCTGTGACGAAACTGAATTTTAGTCTTTTAAATTGAGATACCCAAATAAGGGGCGGCGAAATTTTCCTCCACCCTGGGCGATTGACACCCACGCTACACCACTGATAGAATATGCTTATATGTCAAAAATTTATACTGTTTGAGAGATTGTTCTGTTTTAAGTTCAATATTTTATAAAAATTAAAATATTAGACATAAAATATTGTTTACTTTATGATATCAATTGTATAGCATAGCAACTGAAACTATATAATGTGACATAAGACAACAGCAAAGCACTATTTTAATACTGTTAGAGAAATACTGTAAGTTCTTGGCTTAACAGCCAAGTTAAACAAGAATTTATCCTATATCCTATTTTCCAAATTAAGTGCCAATAGATTTTTACCTGATCATTAATAGCTGAAAGATTTAAAAAATTCAGCCACTCTAACAGTGCATTAGAGTGGCTGAATTTTTAGCCACTCTAACAGTGCGTTAGAGTGCTATTAGCACTATTTTCAGTAAAAAACTAACTAATTCTAATATTTCTTTATCAAAGAATTAATAAAGGAAACAAATAACATTGAATATTTTACTGAAAATAACTGTTATACTACATATTTTATACTATATTGTACTTAAAAATTATTTTTAAGTACTTTAAAAAATAACGAATAAATAAAGCTCACAACAATAATGCCATTACTTTTTAATTTCACTGATTATTTATTGTTTGCATTATGATATCTCAGCCATAAATAAATAAATAAAATAAAATAAAAAAGTTTATTTGCTAACTATTTATTGAAGGAATCTGAATACAATTGGCTCAAACTACTTAACCTAAATAATTATGAAAATAACAGCACAGTAATGATACTCATATTAAAATTTTTCTTATCCCTTACTGACCTGACTGTTAGGACTATTCAAATATTGAAAAATAGCTAGTAATAAGACATATGATATACAGGGAATGACATTATCCTGATTTTGTTGCTTTCAATGAAAGAACTAACAATCATATGCAGTTTTTTTTTCTTTTTCAAACCAGTGTTAGCCATTCTTAAAATACATCAATTGATGTTTTAATATGTGCATGTGTATGTGTGTAATCTTAACTGAAAAATTAATTTAATATAAAAAAAACTCTCCATTTTCATTTGATTAATCTATTGCTTATCAAAATAATTTAATTACCCTTAGTATAGAATTAACATTTCTTTGTTCTTATTGTAATGGATCAAAATGTATTCTATTCAGATTTATTATGAAAAACTGCATAATGTCAAAAGTCAGATTTTGTCTTTTAAATTTCCAGTTTTTAAAATTTATTCTTTATTTTAATTAATAAATATGAGCATATTCTATATACTTTATTAGTATTAAAACATATGTATTGTCTCTGATTTCAACTTCTGCTTTTAAAATTATGAAAGATAAATTTATTTATTTTGTTCATTATAATTAATAAATATGTAGTTATTTTTTATATGTTCTGTAACTTCAATATATCTGACATAAATATGAAAATATGCATTATCTAACAATCCCTTGTTAGATAATGCATATTTATGCCAGAACAATTTTGATATTATGTTGATTATGAATTTATGTTGATGAACAATTTTAAAAGAATTGTCTATTTTTTAAATCAATTTCATCAAAAATATTTATATTAAAACAATTACATAACTTAAAAAAAAAAGCAAACTTTATATTTGTAAATGCATTCAAACAAATTTATTGCAACACTTATTTTTTTTTTTTTTTTTTTTAGCAATGATTGGAAAATAGGTTAGCATAACTATCCATTTGACAATAATGTTTATAATTTTTCTAGAATATTGCAAAATCAATTCAGTACAATAAAAATTTCAATGTCAATTATTAACTCTGAGGTTTACTTGACAATGTTAAAAGTTTGAAATATTGATACAAAATGTATACAATAACTTAAATCACAAATTTATACACTATAAATATTACATACTCCACATTGTGCGTCATATATTTTTACGTTAATTTTACAGTGATGATTACATTTAAATTAAAATACCAGTATTATTCTTTCACAGTAAGACAGAGTACATCTACATAATTGACTGTTTAGAAACTTAAAATTTAAAACAAAACAACAATTTAGATTTTAAAATTATATACTATCACATAATTTGTACTTTAATTAACTAATATCTACAAAATTTACACAATATACAATAAATGAAGGAATATTAAAATCTAGAGTAAAACAAAAAAAATACTAAACCAAATGGATGATCCTTGAAAATCAAAGTCCAATTTAAAGTACAGAGAAAAAACAATCTTTTGGTTCCTGATATGTCATACACCATGTGAGACGTGTCTTGAAATTTTTCTCTCTAGATAAGTTGACAGCATAACTGCCGGTGGATGGAAATAACAATGACTATTTTGTACTTTGGTCCATCGAACAGCACCTTCATTATAACCTGAAAAATAAATGATCAATTTTATGTAATTTTTACTTGATTATTTTCAAGACATATTTCTTTCTGCTGTAATAAATTAATTTAAAATATTATGAATAAAAAAACTTTTTAAAGATAATTTATAAGATAAACAAAAAAAATTATGGCTAGCAGAATTAAATTATTTTCTTTTCATGAATATTCTAATCTTAAAATAAAAAATTAATTCTTAAACACAATAACTAAATAAAATTTATTATAAAAAACTTAATATAAAAAAAATCTCCCATTTAATTTGAAGAAAATTTTTTATTTAAAAAGATTTCATATAAAGTTAAAATAAATGGAAATGTTCAACTGCGTAAAAAGCACAAATACAATTCTATAAGAAAAAAATAGCATTCTATAGAATAAATTAATCATTCTACCAAATAACAGTAAATAAAATAGGGTTTTATCATTAGAAATACATAAGATATCTGAATTCTATGAATGTCTAAAACCACAGCGTATATCGGGTAACATTGGAAAGATTCTTCAATACGGCCATTAAAAACACCAAAAAATACACTTTTAAAACAGTCATAAGGTAATTTTATACTTTTCAACAGATGCTCATAAAATCTCACATAAGTACATTTTTTAAAGAATGTGTATTTTCTACAACACACCATTGGAGTAAATAGTTTCACAATATATTTCCATTCATTCACTAATACAACACTGTGTATGACAAATACATTCTATGGTTTTAGAAAACAGAACCATATTTACCATATAAGTGTGACAATTTTAATATTGCACTGAAGAGGAGCTTAGCATTTAAATAAGCCCGAAATGCATATGTGAAAACAATAAGTGTCTAACCTGAAAGCTGTAATGACAGTCTACCGGACTTAATGGTCATTCGGATTAGAGAGACATATATTCATAGAATGTAATAACAGCTACCATAAGTGATATTTAGGAAGATATTTGAAGTTTACATTAAAAACAACCATAACTAAAAGAAAAAATATTAAAAATAAAAAATACAAATCATTATAATTTGAAAAGAACTGGTGTGATTTTATCAATTTATCATATTTATTTTTATTTTGAAACATCTAACCATTACTTATATGTGGAATTCACGTTAAAAAAAGATGCAATTGCACATCATTTATAGTATATGATCAAATATTCTGTCTTTTAAAGTTATTGTGTGTTATATTCATTTTAATAAAAACGGAGCATTACAAATTCTATTATTCATCATTCAAAATTAGAATATCTGATAATGATGTACTTTTTATTATATAAAAAAATATTTAGTTTAAAATTAAGGTGTTTATAAATATTTATCTCTCCTTGTTTTTGTAATTTAACTGAAGTTTTAACATAACATCAGATGGTAGAATGATAGAATAATTTGATCAATTATAATAGCTACTATACATCTGATATCAATTAATCTTATATGACTGATGCTGGCTACTGACTGGTGAACTATCTGTTTAAGTAATTACTACAAAATATATACTTCTTCCTTATTTCATTTTTAATGTCAATCATATTTTTTTCTAGTAATTTATACTTATAATCTGTAAAACAGTAATGCAAAAGTTTGTCATTTTTATCAAGAAATATTAAATCTTTGAGAATCAATATAGTTATTCCAATTAACTTTACATATTTTAAATTATTTTTCATTAAATTTTGTTATTACATATCAAATGTATGAGTGTTTTATTGAATGTACAAACAAATATTTATAAACAACACTTTTGTTTAAATTAATGCTGTTTATTTTATTATAAAATCATAAAATTAGACTTTTTAGTTTTTTATTAATCTATAAAATATGTTTAAAGAAAAACTAAAAATGCTTCATTGCATGGTATACCATTTAACTTTTTCATACTTTGAGGGCATATACCACAGGTTTACAACTCATGCTCTATATAATTGTGGTTTCAATAAAAATCTTATAAAATATTGACATAATGTATTTCTTTAGTATGTTGCGTTAAAAATAAATATACCACGTTTCCTTGATTTTAAATTAAAGCACATCATGAGTTTGAAGTTAAATTAGTTTTTTCTTAAGAAGTATTTATTAAATTTTTAAATAATTAATTTTATTTAGTAACAAGTTAGAAAATCAGTACAAATGCCATGAAATAGGTAGTATTTGGCATGACTATTTCCATGTCCTTCTAAATATACAATAAGTTGTAACTACNGTCTACTGTATTCATTTTAATGCTACATTATAATGTCATCTCAAAAGCACTTTAATCATTAAAAAAAAAGTTTAATTTAAGCACTCATTTGTCACAAAGCTCATTTGAATTGAGTACAGCAAAAATATTTATTATTGTCACATAATATACCATGTGATCTACTTATGATGATTATTGATTGTTGTTTTGGACAGTGAATATAAGATGGACAAGTGCATCTTAGAATCAAGGAAATACAGTACATAATTATTATTATATTTCATTATTCATTAAAATTAAAAATTTCTACAAAATTTGATAAATTTTTTATTGAAGAAAACCTGATTGATTAAAATTTAAAAAACAAATGTATTCTCATTATAGCTAAATATGATAAAAAGTAAAAATGTTGAATATAAAAAATAAAATAATTAAAAGATAAAAAATTGATATAAACCTATAGAAATAGATAAACATTATTATTCTAACAGCTGGAAGAATATGTTATCAAAATGTGTTTGTTAAATAAAATAAAACTATCACTAAATAGATTGGTTAATGAAAGATTTTACAATGCAACTGTAAAATTTATTTAGTAGAACAGGTGTATACAGTTGCAGCCAAATTGACAAATTGTCAACTATAGTTAATTTTACATTATTAATTAATAATAGTTTTTTCCACATAAATGACTATAAATAAACATTGTTAATTAAATCAAAATATTCCTTCATGTTGCACAAAATTAGTAAAATTTACACATGAAAAGTTATTATGCAAAGCAAATAAATCCACTTTTGACATTTTAAGCCAAAACATATATCAATCTTAGAAAAATTAAATTTAAACTATTGGAGTAAAACACAATATATCTTTATGTAAATCAAGATTATAATATGCATCATTTTGGAGGAAAAAATTTATATCTTCAATGGTATTTACTGTAAAAAAGTTAAATCTTGTCAGCTAATGAGAATGTCAGTTTTCTCCTCTGTCATAGTATTGCACTGCTGCTCCAGTCTTATGTCTAATAAAATGACAGTTTCCATGCCTTGGACCAAACAATGTGACCGTGCAGACATTACGACCAAAATGATTACCATATAAAGGAAAAAAGGAAACAAACTATCTTTCCTTTCCAGTAATATTATGCTTTCATTAAAGTGTAATAAAAACTGCATTTATACAAAAAATTTTTTATTATGTTTATTTACTTATCTAATATTTAGTTTTGTAAGTCATTCCTATTTTAGTGCAAAATGTGTTATATTCAGGTTTTAATTCTAAACAAGTTATAGCCAAAAATAAATTAGCAATAGCACTATAGTTATAGGAGTCTGAAGTACAACAACTTAAGTACAGTCGACCCCCTATAACACGGGTTCCTATAGTTCGGATTCCTATATCACGGTGAAAAAATTGCAACAGTATTCGTACAAACATGCTAAAAAAAACTCCTATAATTCGGTAAAACGTCATTGCTGACTTGTGTCACGACAGGATTGGTCAAATCTAGACCAATAGCGGATATTGCACAAACTGTTGAGTTTAAACAAGCAGCGGACCTACTATAAACCATTTATTATTTAACATCCATAAAAATTATATTTATATTAATGATGTCTCCAAAGTTCAGTGAATTTTTCGCAAAAAAATAATTTATCAGGAAGTACGCGAGTGCCATTCGATGACAAGCTCCACAATGAAAACAAGCCTAAGCAATGGCGTGGTCGAACGGTGCACACTCGGTAAGTAATCCTACAATTTTTTGTTTATAGCATAGTTTATATGGATTATTCCCAAAAAATTATACGTATTTTGGAAATGTTGAGTCAAATTAGTCTAGAATCGATTAATTTTATGGAAGAAANTTGGAGGAAAAAATTTATATCTTCAATGGTATTTACTGTAAAAAAGTTAAATCTTGTCAGCTAATGAGAATGTCAGTTTTCTCCTCTGTCATAGTATTGCACTGCTGCTCCAGTCTTATGTCTAATAAAATGACAGTTTCCATGCCTTGGACCAAACAATGTGACCGTGCAGACATTACGACCAAAATGATTACCATATAAAGGAAAAAAGGAAACAAACTATCTTTCCTTTCCAGTAATATTATGCTTTCATTAAAGTGTAATAAAAACTGCATTTATACAAAAAATTTTTTATTATGTTTATTTACTTAATTTTCACCATTTAGTAGTGTTTGAATACAAATAGATGAAATATCACTTAAAAACACTGGTTGTTGAACTTAGCTTACATGAGCATCATTACCCTTCATTGCCATATTGGATTCTGGTGCTTTTTTGATGGCCTAACAGCATATTATAAATAAAACAAAAAGAAGAAATGGGAAGCTAAATATATGCAGTTTGTACACATAATGATTAAAACTAACAATTTAAAATAAAGATGTATTTATCATATGTTAAAATTTGCAAAATTTTCGAAGATGATCACCTCAAAAACAACACACGAATGAAAGAAACTATGCTTCTGATGACAACCATCACATGACTATAGATTTATGATGACATTTGCTACCTGGCCACAACAATTACACATTGACGATTCAATTGTTTTGAGATAACTACGTGAGCAGGATTGCAATCTGAGCAGGGGAGAATTTTCTGGGCATGCTTANTAGCATAGTTTATATGGATTATTCCCAAAAAATTATACGTATTTTGGAAATGTTGAGTCGAATTAGTCTAGAATCGATTCATTTTATGGAAGAAATCTTTCAAACAGCTGTAGTCCGTAAACTGCATACGCGCCGGGCTGTGATTGGCTGGACTCATAGAAAATGGATTCATAAAAACCAGAATGTATCTACTGTGTTATAGAGGGTTGACTGTATTAACATCTTTTCATTAGCTTAATTGTTTTATTTTATGACAGTGAAAAATTAAAACTTCTATTATTTCACTTTCAAACAGTTATCATGTTTTCTGAAATTTTAAAAAGTGAGTTTAACTTATTTTGCATAACAGCTCTTCATATATACTATCAAAAGGTTTCTCTTGTTGATAAATAGATATGATTTTAATACAAATAATCATTGAAAAACATTATTAGCATCACACTTAAAATGCAACTAAAAAAAAAACTTTACAATTGCATGTATATAATTAATATAACACAACTAATATTTAAAACTATACTTTATGTAATAAAATAATCAAAACATTTACTTTTGGAGTAAAGATTCATATATTGACATAAAGCATGAAGCATAAGGCGTTCATAACTACTTTGCAGTTGAGATTTGTAAACGGCAAGAGGTTGATTTTGGAAGAATTTTGATATCTCATCCTCCAGCTGGGCAAGTGTTCCCTGTAATAATAATTTGTTAATTTTTATAATTCCAGTAATAAAGACAGTACTATTGATACTTTTAATATAAAATTCTGTAGATTTAAGTGACATTTCATTGTTCATTTAACAAAATTTAAGACTAATTTTATTTTACTTCAGATCCATTAATTATTAAAAATGCTAATTTAAACAAACTATATTAATAAAAAATGTAATATAGAATTAGAACTTATCTATTAAAAATTAATCAATTATCAATCAGTATTCACTAGATAAAGAAATAATTTATTAGAAATTACAATGATAGTCCAAAAATAAGTTTAAAAGAGAGATTCTGAACCATTTTTTATTACAATAGATAAGCATCCAAACACATTATAAATCAAGTAATTAAAATGCCAAATCACCCATGGGCTAATAATTATTAATTCAAATTACTAATTAGGTCTAATTACTTGATAACATTAATTACTGATTAGCCAAAATATAGCTTGTGATAATCTAGCATTTAAATTATTTCACTTATAAAATGTCATAAATAAAACTAATTTAATTTTTTTTGTAAAAAAACAATATAAATTGAAAACACAAATGCAGGCTCATATCCTGCTCCAGACTGATCTTTTCTTCCAGAATATGCTAAATTAATTTAATTCCTATTATTAAATTTAGTATATATTTAATTAGCTAAACTATGGTCAGATTGATCCAGCATTATCATTTGATTAACTTACAATTATGTCCTGAACTCCCAGAATGCATGGCAAAAAACTGTCCAGTGAGTTGCCCATCAGGATTTCTTTGTAATGGAATTGATTGTGTACAATTTTGGGCTTATTTTTCTGTATAAAACTATATAATCAATTTTATGATTGCCACTTTACTTTCAAACACTTGAACCAAAACACTGGTCTTAAGTTACTGTTTATTCTAGCTAATCATATAGTTTCTCTAATGTTCCACAAGATTTCTAAACTCTCTGTCTCAGAGCGGGTATATTCAAGGAGAAAAACTGTATTTTATCAAAAGCAGTCCTTAGAAACACAAAGAGGTACATAGGAAACTGTCTCGCTCTTCCATATGCTGTTGTATAATTTGTTCTATGTAACTTTTTTACAATTTGTGGTACGAATATTTTAGTCAGTTTTGAATCTTAAGAGTTTCATCCAAAGCCATATTCAGCTTTATTTCATATCATAAATATTTCTTTTGCCCAATTACATTTTATTTTTGGATTAAGAATATTTTTACAAAACAATATAAGTTATATACTTTTGGATATTGAACTTTATCCATTTCAAAAACTTGGATTAATAGAAAATGACATAACACATAGGTGATCTGCCAAAGGAGGGATACCTCCTGGGAGAACTTTCTATGGGGAAACTAGCCCATATTTAGGTGTTAGACATATGAAGAAAACTTGGAAAATGTAACATGGCCAGCCTATTGACAAAGCATAAATCCACAACCAACTACCAGTGTTCAGTGGTTTTGTCTAATTGACAAATGGTGGGCATTTCTAAGACACTAATACATTAAAACATGCTTAATTATTATAAAAGATAATTTAAATCTTTAAAACATTACTTTAAAAAACAAATAAATACATAAATGTTTAATAAAAAATGATTTTATATAAAATTGTAATATTACCAAGGGCACATGTTTTCTTTTTAATGTTGCTCTCAAAACACTATCAATTCTTAGAAAACATTCCTCTGCAGAAAATGCAGGATGGGCTGAAGAAACAACACAGTCATTAAATCCTTATCATCAATATTTTACTTCTTTAATGTACTATGTTCATGCTGATGAAAATCTATATTAGTAATTATATTTACCAGTCCGACAATCTTTAACTTCACTTGCATTTTTATTCAATGAAGTTTGAAGGTCCACTTTTTCCCCTTGATCAATGTCTTTTAATATTTGCCACTGTTCCTCATCTGTATGGTTTATAAAATTATTCCAAGCCTGTTTAAATAATAATAATAACATTTTTCTAAAAAAAATAAATTCATAATTTTTAAGATTATATTAAAAAAAATGCAATAACATTAATCATGTGTAAAGTACACAATGGTAAAATTAATTACAAATGTGTAGTCATTCTAAAGTTATAATATTTTGTTCTCTCTTTTTTTTCACATATATATTTTGAATTAATAAATGATATGATGATAATTTCTAAACCATATGTTTCTCTACAACTTTTTTATACAGAATAATTAAATATTTCAACTGGCTTTTATACTTCTAATATTTTAATGGTTTTTATACAATTTAATTGCCTTCCCACTTAAGAGTACCCCAAAAAAAAGGTTACAATATTTTTCATATATTTACATGCCATTTTATAGATTAGCAATTTCATAGCATTCTTATTTTTAACATATTTAGCAAATATGTTTAATTTTGATTCCTTTTTTAAAGATATAAATCCAACAGATATAATCCAATTTAAAGATATAAATCCAACAGATGTTCTTCAATATGTTACTTGATAAATTTCAATAATTTTATACTCTAAATTTAAATTCACGTATGGAGTTATAATTTAACTGCCATACACATTTTCTTAATTATTTTGAATTTAAATAATGTCATCAAAAATTTATCATCATTTAAGAATTATAGTTTTAATATGAAAAACAAAAATAGTCAAAATATAATGATTTTAGAAATGACATGAAACAATGATTAATAATATTTTGATTTTTAATTTTAAAATTTGCTTATTTAAGGTTATTCTAAATTAGAAAATTATTCAATATCAGTTAATTAATACAAAAAAAAACTTTAGTCCTCTTACAACTTTAATAAAAATTTAAAAATTTAATGCAATAACTGAAATTTGAAGATAAACTTTTCTGTACATGCAGGTAATGCCTATCTGCAGATAAAATGACCTCAAATGCTAATAAATTCATTGGTTTTGCTATTAATTATTCTTTATATGCATTAATATTATATTTATTATTATTTATTAATATAATATTGCTAAATAAAACAATAATTTTAATAAACCATACACTTTATTAAAATTATTGTTTTATTTAGCAATATTATATTTATAGCAATAATTATGAAAAAGTGCCTACAGAATTCTGTGAATGTATACAATGAACAATAAACAATAACTAAATGATTATGTTTAATGCTGGAATAAACCAGTTTTGAAAACATTTATCCTTAAATAACTCATTTCTGACCTATTGAAGTGTTTGTTTTTTGTTTAATATTTGTTATCAAACATGATTAACTAATTAAACAAAGTAGTTAATCATGTTTGATGAAATGAGAAATCACTTTGTAATTGGAAAAAGTAAAAGTAATTTGATTAAGAAATAATATTGCAAATGCTACATTTATTTTATTTTTCAACAAATTTACAGCTTTCAAATCTCATCTTTAAGAACTTCCAAAATTAGAATTCTATGAAGAAACGACTATTTGAGATACTTTGTGATACTATATATATTCTATAAGTAAAAAAAATCCATAAAATGATTTCATTGATTATTATTGAAAATTTTACTTTATATTGTCGACTTTACTTTATATATTAGTAAAAAATTTTATTAATTTCTGTTTTAATACATCATTTTTATTAATATACCTAATTTGTAAATGCATTTCAAGAAACAAAAATCAATACAAAAGTTTATAGATTTTCTATTGGTATATGCAAAGAGAATGAAATGAATACCAACTTTCAACTTTAATTAATTAGAACTGTAGTCCAACAATTTTATTTTAAAAATTTATTGTCCAATAGTTTTTGTATTAAAGTTAAAATAGCATGTTTGAAAGTAATTTATTAAAACTACAAATTAAATATCTTCCTCAATAATAATAGTCTCACTACAGATAGAAAACTTTACGTTAACTTGTTTCTGAAATTTTTTATATTGTACACATCATCATATACCATATAAGATCACTCATATTATCAAAATTACCTCCATACTTTCTTGTTCCATCAAAAGTTGAGTGAAAGCAGAAACAGTTTCAGGAACAAAATCATAAATTGAGACTTCTTTAGTTTCATCTCCCTCAGCCAAAGACATTAAGAAACTTGCTAAATATTAAAATACAACTTTAATTATATATTTAGTTATATGTCATAAAATTTAATAATGCTTGAAAAAATTTATAAAATTTAAATTTAATAAGGTTCCTGTTACATATTATGTAATTAAATATAATAAAAACAGAAGAGTCAACAAGAACAAAAAAAAAAAAAAAAAAAAAAACTAGAAATTGAGTTCCAGAAATCATTTGATAAGATTCATGGCACCTTTTGCATTCAAAAATAGAATATTTTGAAAAAAATATTTATCTAATAGCATTTAATGCATTTTTAGTGTTTAATAAATATATTCTCAGTTATTTCACACAATCTTTCTATATGTACAGTAATTTGAATTTTATATACTCTGTAGATAATGTGTGAATGCTTCAAATGTTTTTACACAGATTACAAATTGCATTAAAGTATCATATCAGTACTTAAATCTACAACTTGTGGGGCCTCTCTCATCTAACTGAATATGTTTTAGCATTCATTTTACTTTAGATAATTAACATTTAATGAAAAAAATCACAATTTTATAAGCTCAATTCTTACTTCATCTAAACCTCAATGTAATAAAACACTAATTGGACAATGATGGAATATAAGATAGAAGATGGAATACATGTTACAGGAAAAACCAAAAACGATGTTTGGGAATATTCAAATTAGCATAGGATAATTACTGTAAGATAAAATACGAGGGTCGTTCAATAAGTCCTTAGAAAAAGATAGAAAAACAAATTATTTTAGGTAGATTTTTTTTTTATTTTTCAACATAATCTCCTTTAAGCTCTATACACTTTTCCAAGCGTTTCTCCAACTTTTTTAAGCCATCTAAAAAGTAAGATTTCGGAAGGTCCTCAAAATAGGCATTTGTTTGGGCAATGACCATCTCGTTTGACGTGAATCGTTGTCCACCAAGCCATTTTTTTAAATTTGGAAATAAAAAAAAGTCACTGGGGGCCAAATCCGGTGAATACGGTGGATGTGGTAATAATTCAAACTTTAATTCCGTGATTTTGGCCATTGAAACTGCACAGGTGTGCACCCGTGCATTGTCTTGATGGAAGAGGATCTTTTTCTTTTTCAAATGAGGACGTTTTTCCTTGATTTCTTCGCTCAACCAGTGCAATAATGATGCATAATACTCTCCAGTTATTGTTTTTCCTTTTTCCAAGTAATCGGTGTAGATGATTCCGCGTGTATCCCAAAAAACCGTGGCCATCACCTTCCCGGCCGATTTCACTGTCTTCGCCTTCTTTGTAGCCCTTTCGCCTTCAAAAACCCACTGTTTTGACTGTTCTTTGGTCTCTGGAGTATAATAGTGTATCCATGTTTCGTCCACTGTTATGTATCGACGCAGAAACTCGTCAGGATTGCAACGAAAAAGTGCCAAAATTGCCTCAGAGTCGACCACACGATTACGTTTATTCTCCACTGAGAGCAAACGCGGCACCCATCTTGCCGAGATTTTTTTCACACCCAATTTTTCGTGCAAAATTGAAAACACTGTACCTTGTGATATGCCTGTGGCCTCAACTATTTCACGCACTTTGATTCGTCGATCACTCAAAACCATATCGTGGATTTTGTCAATCATTTCGGGAGTAGTCACTTCCACTGGACGTCCTGAACGATGTTCATCTTTTGTGGATGTACGACCATGTTTGAACTCATTAACCCAATTGTAAACAGTTGCAAACACAGGAGCAGATGTGCCATGAACTTCATCCAACTCAGCTTTGATCTCTTTTGGTGTTAAGCCTTTTAAATATAAGTGTTTAATCACCGCTCGAAACTCACTTTTTTCCATTTTTCTAAATAAACAAAAGTTTCTTGCTTCAATTGACAATAAAAATTAAACCATATGATGGATATGACTGAGATTTTCACAACTGTCTAGTGAGACATCATGCTTACAAAAAACGCGCCATTTTTGAGGCTACGAGCGCCATCTATTGGATTTTCTAAGGACTTATTGAACGACCCACGTATCTTAAAAATTTACAAAAATAATAGTTATAACAATAATTGCTTCTTTACTTGTTTTTAAATGATGTCATCTTATAGTTATTAATCCGATAAAAGAATAATTATGTATATTTATAATTGTTTTGATACTAAATAATCAAAATGCACACTAAATAAAAATTTGCACAAATTAAAAACAATTATTCTGTAGAGGCATATAAAAATTTGGGAAAGACAGTTTCCTTAAGTTTTAAGTTGTTATGATAAGATAACTTTTAAGCTTATTTTACGCACAGAAATTAATTTAAGAAAAGTTTTTTATAACTAACATGAAACAAAATAAAAATATAAAAATAAAATAAAATTTGTAATGAAAAATTTATCAAAACTATGCATAAAATTAACTAAAAATATTAATAATTTCTAGCATTATGTTAATTTAAGTGAATATGATAAATATTAATATATTTTTTAATGTTCTAATTTAAGAGTGAGAAACCTGAAGCCTTTTGTGGCTTCTAGTGCATCCTGACAAAATATAAAATGGTAAGTTTCGTGACAAGAAAATTAATCTTATTAGTTATGAAAATATGTTTTCTGTTCTCTTTTTCAAGAGATCTATCTAAATACAATACATATATATTATTGGCAAATATATAGTAAATGTATACAATTCTGCAACCTACAATATATTGTGCAGCCTTATGAGTGCCCTCTAAAATAGGACATGACTCATTATTAAAAAAAGTTTCCCTACCTCTGTTTTAATTCACTATAAAATAATTTATTCTAAATGGAGCTGTTACAAATTAAAAATAATAATAGAAAATTATTTCATTTAAGAATAAACTGAATACATAAATACAAGATGTCCATATAAACATTGCTCCAGGGTCAAAAGAATCTTTCCAGCATTGCATAAGCATATGCATGTGATGCATGTTTGTTCGAGTACTAAAATAATCAATACTTGCATATCTATTCAGAATCAAAAGATTAATTCATTTAAAAAATGCCACAATTACAATAAATTAATGCAGAGCATGATTCATAATGTATAAGACATACATAACACCAAGCATGTTTTACCCTAAATGTCTGATGTGGAATATGGGGTGAGTAGCTTCTGAATAGTGATTGTTATCTGATCATCCTAAACACAAGAGTAGACAAATGCCTTGATGACTTGCCATTGGCACAACTACAGAAAGTTTGGTACAAGCATGATGGCATGCCAGCTCGTTCCTGGACAAACATGTATCAGCATATCTGGATATAAGTCTGGGGAAAGTGGGGAAACAGGACTACTGTTCCACAACCATCACTATCCCAGATTTGACCCTTTCAGAATTTTTTTTCTGTGTGGGGCCTTAAAGTATTGGTATATAATGCATACACAGCAATGCCATGTGATGTTGGTGAACTGGATAGACGAATATGACAGGTCTGTTAAGCAATGACACCAAGTGACACATCTACATGCCTTAATGCCAATATTAACTGTCTACACTTCATACGTTACTGAAAGCATTTTGAACATATTCTAGAACAAAATAAAGCTCACTTTTTTGTCTCACTTCCTGCAATGTTGACTTTATTTTTTATAGTCAGAGATTATTTGTATGTTATACTAAATCATCTTAAATTGATTCCTTTGGTTATTTTATTTTATTGCATGAGTATATGCATGCTTGAACTCTCATGCAGTGTTGAAAAGCTCTCTTGCCCTAGACAGATGTTTATGTAGACACCCTGTATATACATACATAGATAATATTAATATATAAATATATCTCAATTCATTTCCAACAAATTCTTTATAACAATTTACCATTTTCAGCACGGCGATACTTTTTTCCACTTTTGTGTCGTAAAACTTTAGAACTTCCAGTAGACTGAGGAAGAACTGGTGGTCGCTGTCGAATTTTTCTTGATCTACGAATCACTTCTTGTTCTTCTTCTACATCATCAAGAATCCTGAAATCACAATAATTTATTATTATAATGATAGTAACTGTGCTAAACTAAAATCTATTATAGTATATTAAATTGGAAAATTTTATGTAATCATATAAACACTGACCAGCCAAAATCTTATGATCATGTACATAATTAGATGTTGATCTCTTGCTGCCAAAACAGCCTGTATCCAGTGAGATATGGATTCTATAATATCTTGGTAGGTGTCTAGTGAGAACTTGAACTAAGATGTCATCAGAAGAGCCTTCAGTTTCTGAAAATAATGTGGTTGAAGTGATACATCACAAAACCTTTTCTCAATCCACAAATAATTGATTGAATTCATGTCAGGGGAATTTTAAGACTAATAGCTGAAACTTTCTCCATGTTCTATAAACTATTCCCTGGCAATTTTGTGTTGGCATGCAATTGTCTTCTTGATAGAAGGCATCATCATCAAAAAACAAATGCCATGAAGAGCTGATAGTCAATCAGTAATGACATTTAGATAGATGACAGCTGTTGGAGTTCTATTCACAGGAATGATAGGAACTGTATAAGCATCTCCTAAGACAACATTGCGCAAACCATCAAATTCTCTCTGTCTGCCTGTGTCCATCCCATAGTACATCTAGGTTACAAGATATCATGTCACACATGTACCTGACTATCCACAGGTGCAACTTGAATCCTCATTCATTGAATAAGATTACCATCTTTCATTCTTCAATAATCCAATTTTGATGTCAATGTGTTTACTGTAAGCACTGTCACTGATGTTAACATCTGTTAACAGAGGCATGTAACAAAGTTTATGGCTCTACAGCCTCTTATTCAGCATTGTTCAATGAACAGTATCTTCTGATGTATTTGTACCACCACCATTATTTAAACTGTGAGAGATTTGAGCCACAGTAGTCCTCCTGTTGCTTTGTACAAGACAAGATAGTCTACACTGACCTCTAACATCAATGAGATATGGCCAGCTCATGCCTTTCCAACAATTCATTGTTTTTCCATGTTTGGAACATCTTTGATTGATACTTACTACTGATAAGTGCGAACAACCCACAAGCCTCAAGGTTTCAGATACACTTACACCAAGGCATTTGGCCTCTGTTGAAGACAGCAAATCTGCTTTACCTATTTGACCACTGTAATGACCCATTTATACAGATAAATGGTTTGTTGCATCAACATGTGTGTTCATAATGTTGTGGCTGGTTGGTTTATACACACACAGTAAAACTTGTTTAAAATGGACCCACTGCCTAAGCAAAAAATAAATTTAAGAACAGAAAAATTTTTTACATAAATATTTCCATCTAATGCAGAAGCAGAAAACTTTTTAGGAACTAATTGCATAATAACCTGAATAAAGTGGAATTTTTCTGATGTAAAGACAGTTAAATTCTAAATCATTAACTAATGATGTAACTTATGGAAAAATTGACTGTGATTTGAGCCCATAATTTATTAATATTTCGATTTTCACAGCGAATTTCTTGGTAACAAAAGTTACAGTCTATTATTTATTTCTTTGTTAGAACAGCTACTATCAGATAATGAAAGTACTATGACAATATAAAATACTACTATGTATACTACAGGTTATATAGAATTTTATATAAAAAATGTCAAACAAAAGAATACCAATGTATTATAATAAAACTAGAATCTTCTTCAGAATTTCACTGGACAATCAATAAGAAGAAAAACAACTTATAATAATAAGTAAAATTATAGGAAATCAACGTTAACAACAAAGTAAGTTTTCGAAAGGGGAATGCATTATCCCCTTTTAAAAAATTAGGGAAAGTTAATTTTTGATACATTTATGCATTACCACATATTAACATTACGAATACAGTAGATCCCCCTATAAAACCGTTTCTTATAGTTATGATTCCTATAAAAATTGTGGCAGTATCCGTAAACAACGGTAAAAATAACTCCTATAATACGTAAAACGTCATCGGGCAGCCGAACTACTTTCCCACCGTCCGTAGCGCCACGCTACGGACGTTTAGGCGGATAAATTGAGTTTAGTATCGTCTGTTCATATAATTATATATAAATTAGGTACTGTACATATAATTATATATTAATTAATTTATTGTAACTTTATTATAATTAAATATATATTTTTCGCCGTCTAGCGTCACGCTATGGCGAGTTAGGCGACCTATCGTCTGTCCAGTACTGTAATTTTATACATTTCTTATGAAAGAAACATTTCTTATTTAACGGCCATAAAAATTATTTATATTAAGGATGTCTCCAAAGGTCAACGAAGTTTTCGCAGAAAAATAATATCAGAAATCGCAGCCGCGGTTTGATGCGCTGTTCCGCGACGAAACCAAGCTTTAGCAACGGGCGTACTCGAACGGTACACACTCGGTAAGCAATCCTACAATTTTTTGTTTATAATGTAGTTTATACGGATTATTTTCAAAAAAATATACGTATTTTGGAAATGTTGAGTCGAATTAGTCTAGAATCGATTAATTTTATGAAAGAAAACCTTTCAAACAGCCGTAGTCCGTAAACTATGATTCCTACAAAATTGATTCATAAAGAACGGAACGTATCTACCGTCTTATAGGGGGATCTACTGTATTAACTTCATTCATACTATACTGAATAATTTACATTTATGTATATAAAATTTAAAAAAGTTTTTTAACGATTTGCTTTGGACATCATCCAATGATACAGAATGATAGGTTTGTTCAGATAAAGCACAAATGTTTATCATTAATTCTCACATTATCCATAAAATATGAATGATTAATGGTTAATGTAATTTAGCTTTTAATGTCAAAAATACTATTAAAATCATTGATCACTTAATTTTGGATACTTCAAATCAAAAAACTAATTATCAAACTTTGATCCTTTCAAATATAAAATTCTGAAATATAACAATTCTACATTATTAAAAGTTAATTTAATAACTGCAATTTTTGGATTATTAAAATATAACAGTTTATTATTCTTTAGTAATAAAGCTCTTTTAAATTCTTCACATCACTTAAGACGATAAATATTGTATAAAGATAATTTAATTACTGTAGTTCAAACATGCCAAACTGTCTTATATACTTACAATCTTTTCCAATCAATTTCCTATCCACAGGTGCAACTTGAATCCTCATTCATTGAATAAGATTACCATCTTTCATTCTTCAATAATCCAATTTTGATGTCAATGTGTTTACTGTAAGCACTGTCACTGATGTTAACATCTGTTAACAGAGGCATGTAACAAAGTTTATGGCTCTACAGCCTCTTATTCAGCATTGTTCAATGAACAGTATCTTCTGATGTATTTGTACCACCACCATTATTTAAACTGTGAGAGATTTGAGCCACAGTAGTCCTCCTGTTGCTTTGTACAAGACAAGATAGTCTACACTGACCTCTAACATCAATGAGATATGGCCAGCTCATGCCTTTCCAACAATTCATTGTTTTTCCATGTTTGGAACATCTTTGATTGATACTTACTACTGATAAGTGCGAACAACCCACAAGCCTCAAGGTTTCAGATACACTTACACCAAGGCATTTGGCCTCTGTTGAAGACAGCAAATCTGCTTTACCTATTTGACCACTGTAATGACCCATTTATACAGATAAATGGTTTGTTGCATCAACATGTGTGTTCATAATGTTGTGGCTGGTTGGTTTATACACACACAGTAAAACTTGTTTAAAATGGACCCACTGCCTAAGCAAAAAATAAATTTAAGAACAGAAAAATTTTTTACATAAATATTTCCATCTAATGCAGAAGCAGAAAACTTTTTAGGAACTAATTGCATAATAACCTGAATAAAGTGGAATTTTTCTGATGTAAAGACAGTTAAATTCTAAATCATTAACTAATGATGTAACTTATGGAAAAATTGACTGTGATTTGAGCCCATAATTTATTAATATTTCGATTTTCACAGCGAATTTCTTGGTAACAAAAGTTACAGTCTATTATTTATTTCTTTGTTAGAACAGCTACTATCAGATAATGAAAGTACTATGACAATATAAAATACTACTATGTATACTACAGGTTATATAGAATTTTATATAAAAAATGTCAAACAAAAGAATACCAATGTATTATAATAAAACTAGAATCTTCTTCAGAATTTCACTGGACAATCAATAAGAAGAAAAACAACTTATAATAATAAGTAAAATTATAGGAAATCAACGTTAACAACAAAGTAAGTTTTCGAAAGGGGAATGCATTATCCCCTTTTAAAAAATTAGGGAAAGTTAATTTTTGATACATTTATGCATTACCACATATTAACATTACGAATACAGTAGATCCCCCTATAAAACCGTTTCTTATAGTTATGATTCCTATAAAAATTGNCTAACAAGTAATAAACAAATAAAGTTTTAAACAATCCTATAATAATATATGTGGTAGGCACCAAAAGTTTCTGGCCTAACTATATTTTAGACATGCTAGGAATAAAATAATGATAGTCATATAGCACCAACTGTACATGGATTAATAAAACAGCTTTTCTCACTAATTTGCATAAGATGCTTGAAAACATTCATTTTAGTTAGACTTGTTGCATCAATTTGTATCATGTTCACCTCTTGCAGGACAATGTGCCAGTGCACACAGCTGCTATGAAGGAATGTGAATTTGAGGAGCTTGACTATCAAACCTGGATCTGGCTCCTAATAATTATCTGTTTTCAGAACTCAAAAAAAAACAAAAAAAAAAAAAAACAAAAAACAAAAAAAGACCTTCAAAAAAAGTGATGATAAGGTCCAGGAGGTAATTTATAAGCATTTTGCAGACAAAACTACAAACTATTTTTTCAAGGTTATTGAAATGCTAATTCCAAGATGTAATAACTGTGTTGAATTATAAGGTGACTATATTGAAAAATGACATATTGTTTCATATCTATAACATCTAAAACATAGTTAAGCTAGAAATTTTTGGCTCCTACCTCATATACAACACATTCAAGATAATTTAACCAGTT